TTTTTAATAGAGATATCTCTATTAATAGAGATATCTTAGTTAAAACTAAGATATCTCTATTAAAAACTAAGATATCTCTATTTAAAACTAAGATATCTCTATTTACGATTAAATGACAACTCGGCTCGCCATATTTTAGGCACTTAAATTTAGTTGGCAGGGAGTAGAAACCAAGTATGCAATTAAATAATTTGCTTAAATAAATGTATTCCTAATTATTCAGTTTACTTTAAAAACAATATTTAATTAACAAATACTTCTTTGAAGTAACTCTAAGCAGAACATTTGTTGAAGTAAAGTAAGCCTCCCTTTTCCCAAACATGAGCTTGTCATTCAAACACACAATTGGTCCACATGCTTTAAGTACTGTTTATTTGCACTGTTTATAACATGTAAAGTTATTTCATTTGATACTTAACAAAAGTGAATTTTGTGGTTATCTATGAGTTGCATATTTTGGTAGTTGAAGTACTGTATGCCATTCCTCTACTTTGTTAGTGGAATAACGTTTTTAAAACTTATTTCAACTATTAAAAAATGTTCAGTGGCATTGTTTTCTGATAATCTATCAGTACATTATGTGCATCTGTTGTGTGACTGTATTTGTTATTTATTCAATTCTTGCTTATTACAGTATTTAAATATTTGAAGATTTTAAAAAAAAATTTCTATTACTGATTTTTTTCATTGGGGCCATTTTTACCTACTTGTCATTTAGGGCCATTTTTACCGGGGCCATTTTTACCGGGGCTATTTTTTCTGGGGCCATTTTTTCCTGGGCCATTTTAACCCGGGCCATTTTTACCTACATTCATTTAAATGTAAGTTATTTGAATTGGTTTTTGTATTCTCTTCCGCAACATACAAGCCGACTAAAACCTTCTTGAATTTGGAGGTTTTTAATAAGAGGAATCCCAAAGATGTCACCAATGAACAGTACGCATACGGTAATTGTGTTAAACATCGGTTTTACGTACAATACTGGGACAGAGTATATTCGTAAAATTGGTGTTGCGCTAAATTATTATATGAAAACGGATCGTCGTGTCTAAAAGCTATCGTTGAAAATATGTAATGAGTTCCTCCATTGGTAAACATTTATAGGCCTATTTAGATAGATAGGCCTATTTATTGGATATTCACTTTTGTCACACGGGATCTTTGCTTTTGTATAAGCAGTACATGATAGACACCTATGGTATCCATCCAATTACTGTTTTAATTAACATACCCAAAAGGGGTATTAACCCGTGACACAAACTAAAAATAGAAGACAAGGCACTGCTCCAGCACTTTACACCGGTGTCCATTGGCCAGTTGGCTAATTGAACAGCGCACTGTTTGGGCGATGACAACTTAAAGTCTCCTTGTGAGGTTTAACTTCGTTACGTTATCTGGCTCCTTCGCTTAATGAAGCAATAGACCGGTAGAAGCCACACAGTCACAGGAAGGCTATGCAACCTCTGAGTCTATCTAGTCTTCCAAAAAAATAAATAAATCAATAACAATAATAATAACTTTAATGAAAGCTTGACAATTAGATCTGATAATATTAACTTTAAATATGACTAATAGAAGTAATTATGATTATAAAGCTATTTCAAAAAATGTATTCTCCTAACTTACTTTTTAGAAAAATATAGACATGCATTTCGGGAATGTTACTAGCTTGCCTTATTTTCTCACTTGGTGCTTTTGATTTTGAATTGGCGCTTTATATATCTCAGTTATTCATTATGAAGATTCTTCAGGAATTCCAAAAATGTGAACATGTTGGAGCTAGGAGTAGCAGTTGATCACGGATAGCATAGGATGTAAAAAGGAAGAGGCATCAAACAGAAATCTACAGAGACCTGACATATACAGCAATCCCATCAACCCACTTGCACATGGAAACATTAAGTTAAGTTTCAATACAGATTAGATGTTTACAATAAAATTCATCAACAGGATCAATAATATTAACCAATAAAACACTTAAACATAAGGGTCAAAATGGCTGTGAAGAACGAAAAAAAAAAATATACAGTAAATCAGGTCAGCAAGCTCTAAATTTAATTGTAACACAGAATTACTTATTGAGAAAATCAAATCACAATGGTCGAGACAGTTTGATTTTTTAAATATTAAATAAAATTTATTACCAACAAATTTAGGGACTAAGGAAAAAATATGCAACATTATTTTTGTAAAAAAAAAAAAAACTTCTCGTAAAAAAAAGTTCTTATTACCTCTAAATCTTCGATGAAGGCAGTATAATAGAGGCTGTACCAAAAAAATATCTTTTATAAATCAAGCAATTTATTAATCAATCAGCCGAGTGTTTCTGGAGCTAAAAATAAAATTAACTCAAACCTAATTAATTTTATGGGCCTATTAGTAGTTAAAATAGTACGTCATCATAATTCTTAATTATTTATTCATAATTTTATTAATTTTTTTTCCTCATTATGGGTTGAAACATATGAAGGGGTCTTTGAGGGTTTATTGAAATATTAAAAAACAAAAGGTGGCATTAATTAAGTGATGATGTGTAGCGTGACGTGTTAAGTTTGTCATGTTTCCTTAAAATTTATAGTCCATTATTTTGTGTTCTTTAGAGATTGGTTACAATGAGAGTGAAAATTTAGACAAAAGGGAGATAAGTTTGCCAGTGCTGGATTTACAGTCACAAAAGTATCTTCTTGACCATTGAATTGCCCGGGTGAATGTAATTTGGTGACGTAGTGTGGAATGGATGATTTCTATTGCCTCATGTAAAGAGTGATTTCTATTGGTTCAGACGTATCAGTGACCGCTGGCGACTCTATGGTTTGAATTACCCGCTTCTAACTTCATGTAATGCCTTTATTCCTGTAGTGTATAAATTTAGAAGAAATTTAGGGTAAGAACACAAAATTTGTTTCAACTACATACAATTTAGTGTTTACTTTACGAATACCTATCCATGAAGATCGTGTTCAAAATTGAAACATAATTTTGTTTTTAGAGGGAAACATGACGATGGAAACTGAACGAATTGCACGAGAAATAAATTCAGCGTTTGTGGCATATAAACTAGGCAATGACATGGAATATATAGAGGATATGAACAGTAATTTTTTTAAATATTGCGAAAAGATGTATGAAATGCACAATGAACATCTTTATAAATTAACTAGAGAAGTTTTGCTTGATTCAAATGAGAATATTAAGACGTTTTTTAAAGACATTTTAACAGAAATGTTTAGCGATAATATCATAAACTGGGGCCGTATAATTATGGTTTTTGTGTTTGGAGCGAGGTTAGCTGTTTTATGTAAGGATAGAAATAGAACTGATTTGATTGATCAAGTAATTCAGAATATAGACAAATACGTGAAGACGGAATTTTTGGAATGGATTAATATCCAAGGAGGTTGGGTAAGTCACTTTTTTTTGTATTTACAATCAATGATAAAAAACATTTAATTCGTGTCTATATACAGTCACATATCATCAATCATTACTTAAACAATTGAATTTGTTTCCAACTCTATAGGCCTATATATACATTTTTTTCAGAACAATTTCGATCAATCGTATACTCAACACAAAACGATAGCAGAAATTCCTCTAATGAACGTTTCGTCAGGGATAGCGTTAAGCCTAATAGCAACTTTGTATCTATACAACACATTCTGTTAAGGACGATATGTGTGAATTATGTGTATATCGACACACACTTATCCAGAATGTTTCTTTTGCCAGCCGTCAATTGGTGTATGAAATACCTACGGAACTTTGCTGGTGAATTTTTCAATAAAGGTGAATCTGGTCCAGAGTCAGAAGAAAATGGCAATGGGAAAACTACACAGAAATATATTTCGATGTTCTTGTAGGACTAGAGCGAACCAGGTAATCTGGAATACTGGTATTTGTTTTCATGCAAAATTTGATCAAATCATATAACGTTACCTTTTATTCTACAGTGGGAAACGTTATGCCAGTAATCGAGCATCTCAACGCGAGATATTGAAGGAATTCCCGGAAGAGCGTTTGATAAACGTACACTTAATACATGAATTTATAATTATATGATGATCTGTATAATTATTAGTTTGAAACAAAATAAATGAAAAGCATTCCTGTTTATTGTTGAAACATATATATGACTCTGTCATTTTTGAATTTACATCGTGTACATTTAGTGGAGCAATAAATTATAGGTAGGCCTATACTACGACCCTAAAATCCTGGTAGTTCAGAGGAGGTAGAATCAGAACTTAAAATGGTTACAATAGTGATGGCAAAGATGATGGTGTTGATGATGAGGATGATGATAATGATGGTGATGATGATGTTCAAAAAGACGATATACAAAATATATGCTTAATATGTTACATAAAAAAGTTACAATTATGAAGCGAAAATTTAGGTATATTCAAAACATGTAAATAAATTCAAATATGAATTTCTAATTCATGATAAAACGGTCGAAACTAATAAAAATTTATCGAGCAAAACTGTAATCAAAATCTAAGATAGTTTAAAACTAAACTACATAAATCAGTCAAATATAAATGAAATATACTTTAACTGATTACTAATCAAATAAAATACATTAAGAAAGTACTTAAAAGAAATAGCATTGTCAATTAGAAAGTAATAACCTATTAAAAACCACAATTAATTATCAAACATGTGCACAATTTAATCTACAAATAAAAACTTGAATGAAATATTTAACCTAAAGTAAAATAGGTTAAAAACACGTTTATGTAAAATAAAATGTTAGAATTTAATCAAAATTACTTAAACATATGAAGATCGTAAAATTTTAGGTAACTACTTAAAGAACGTTACCATATAAAACTATTTGATTGTTTGATATTATTGCTCCCATAATAATAACGTCTATACAAAATACAAATTCAAATGTATACAAAAGAAAAATAAACACGAGGACAAGATGATAACCCTATAAGATCGGAATATAGGGACCCTAAATATTTGAAACAAATTTAATTTTAATTTAAACTGCTATCACAATATAATATACAGTAATCATTGAACTAGAAATGTTAAAATAATAACCTAGTAAAATCCAAATTTACCTAGAGAAAATAATAAATATTTATTTACCGTACGAAATACATAAAAGAGTTGAAAAAACTCAAACCACGTAATATTATTAACAATTAATTAGAAAACAGAATGAATTAGACAAATGTAAAAATGTATAAGCTTAGGAAAAGCAAAATTTGTAAGCAATCATCAGTTCAAAAATACATTAAAAACCTTAAAATTTACAAAATAAAATAAGGATAAAAAAAAAAATTCAATCAAATCCAAAATACCGTATTATAACTAAATTAAAAACGACATGGAAAAAACACATTTGTATAGACGTGAAAATGTAAAAAACGTAAAATAATTATATTAGAAAATCATAAACTTATACACAAGTACAAAAATTACATAAACGTAAATAGGAACGCAATATTTTAACCAACACTTCCACGTAAAACCCATTTGTGAGCAAAATTACGTACAATACTTCAAGAGAAAAAAAAATAAACACTTACAAGTAAAATGCTTTTATAAGCGACAGCCATGTAAAAGTTAAATCCATAGAGCAAAACTTAGTCAAATTTAAAAACATGTAAAGCATGAATTCAAAATCACATTAAGAATAATTAAAGAAAAAATTAAGTTTATGTTAAGCAAGCTCATTTTTAATTAGATAAACTGTTAAAATTCATAGACGAAAAAAGATAAAGTCAGAAGAAAAATCACTGTAAGTTAAAAGTAAAAGAATTAGAATTACAAAAAAAATAATAAGATGTACGAAACGTAAAAAAATCTACGAAGCATTCACTCCCAAAATACTTAAAACAAGTTAAAATTGTAAAATTTCAAAAGTTCAAAACCACAATGTTATGATATAAATTAAAACTTAAAATAGAACAAATAATGCAAAATAATTTAAAGAAGGTATAAATATACGATTACAAAAATCCCATATACATATATCTGTCTCTTATACACATCTAGATGTGTATAAGAGACAGTTATCACATTGATTCCTCCAAAAATATGAAATATATGGTTTACGCAATTGTCAAACGCATGAAAGTAAGACACATTGGAATTAAACATAAACTATAAAACAAACCCTTCAAAAGATAAAGATAAACTTTTTCTCTCGTATTTAGATATTGCATATTAATACAATTTTAAAGCAACTTATTCTCAAATGTAATGATTATTCTATTAAATTGCAGAACACATTGAAGTTTGTCAAAATGCATCGAAAATGTTAAAATCACAAATTAAATTGAAATAAAGCATATAACACTTATAAGCAGTTGGTTTAAAAAAAAATGATTTTAAACTTCTAAATGTTAAACACTAATAAAATTGAAAAAGCTGAAGTTTATGTAAAGTAAATTAATTTTAGGCCTATGTAAGGATAAAAAACGGTATATAATTGTAAATTATTGTAATTACTTGTGTAAATTCTACGATGATTTGTATATTAAGTATGACATAAAAGTTATTTCAATTACACAAAATTTATTTTCTTTACATAATATTTATTTTTGTTACATAAAATTTATTTATTTTACATGTTTTTTGTAAATTTTTTTGTTCATACATTTTTTTAGCAGGTTTTATTTGTGTGTGTTTGTGTGTGTGTGTGTGTGTGTGTGTTTACACATTTTTTCTTTCACACATATTTAAATTTTTTTTTTGTATATGACTTACAATGTTTTCACGATTTGTATTTTTGCCTAAAAGTAATGACACATTAAAAGTACATTTTGATAAAATTTGTTGTGGTCCAATAAAAGTGCATATTCATAACATTTTTTGTGGTGTAGTATAAGAGACCACATGAGTCATGAGTAACAATAAATTAACAGAGCACTGCGGTGGGCTTAGCTAATTAAATAGAAACAGGTAAAAATAGTATACGTTTACTAAATTCTATATCTGTCGCGACTACAATCTCTGAAATCCTACCAAAAAAAAACAAAAAAAAAAAGCGCTATGGTTACAATATAATTACACAATATTTCCTTATAACAAACACGTTTTATCAACAAATAGAAGCGTTTCAAATATCATATTGTGTTAGCCATACCATCGTACTTAGTAGGCCTATTGGTACTTCTCGTAAAGTGCAATACAAGCAAAAATAACACGTTCTGATTGATCGTTTAATTTAAGGCATATGCCCAATTTGATAGGCACTACTAACAGTTTCATACATTTTACAACTACAATATATACTTTCTCTCTTTTCATTTTACAAGCTTATTATTAATAACGAATTAAATAGAAGCAGATAATAATTTTTTTACTATCTCATTTTTTGTGGTGAATTCATTGTTGATTTTAGTCGTAGTGATGAATGGCAAACATAGTAATGATCATCATCATCATATTCCGTTACTGTGAATAACCTCAGTTGAGTATAGTCGTACAATGCGTTGTACAGCACTCATATGTCGCCGTCAAAAGTGAAAGAAAGGGATATAAATAAATAAGTAAATAAATAAATATAAATAAAATTAAACAAGTAAATAAATAAATATATAAGTAAATAAACATACAATGGTGAATCTTGCGATCAGGACCGCAGAGTTGATGATGGCAAACGTGGGAATTAAGCCCTCTTTATTACCATATTATTAGAGTTCGAGAATTAATTTATTTGAATGGTGTCAGTTTGAGTATATTTACTCCACTAGTTGAGGCTTAGGAGCCTAGTATACAAAGTACAATAATAACACTAAATGTAAAACTTCAACTCTGTGTTGTCTAAATTTGCCCGTAAACATGTTAGTAAAACCAACGACAGTAATTCTAGTCCACTGTAAATATGATAGAAATGGAGAAAATTTACAACTGAAATCAACAATAAATTCACCACAAATAGATGAGATAGTAAAAAATTATTATGTCTGATTCTATTTAATTCGTTATTAATAATAAGCCTGTAAAATGAAAAGAGAGAAAGTATATATTGTAGTTTAAAATGTCAACTGTTCATAGTAGGGCCTATCAAATAGGGCCTAGGCTTAAATTAAATGACCAATCAGAACGTGTTTTTTTTTTCTTGTATTGCACTTTACGAGAAGTACCAATACTGAGTACGATGGTATGGCTACATGATGAATATGTAACATTAAAAAGTGTATGCAGCCTCCACAACCAAGTTCATCATCGTAATTGTTGTTACCGTCAATCCCACGTTTCCGATCTTTGTATTTGTTATAATATCACTACGATAGAAATAATCAAATTTTTACGGGCAAATTTAGACAACACAGAGTTGAAGTTTTACATTTATAGTTAATATTTTACTTTGTATACTAGGCTCCTAAACCTCAACTAGTGGAGTAAATATACTCAAACTGACACCATTCAAATAAATTAATTCTCGAACTCTAAATAATATGGTAATAATTACAGGCCCGTAGCCAGGTCATTTCAAGGGGGGTTCTCTGGGCGTGGGGCCTGGACACTGAATAAGGGCCCTGGTGGGGTCGGGGGCGAAGCCCCCGAAGCCAGAGCAGTTTTTGTGTTTAATGGGTCTATATAATGTTATAAAAGCAGTTATGTTTTTAAAAAAGATGTAATAAAAGGTGGTATATAATAAAATTTGAAAATATTTTCCGAGAATTGGCATGTTTTAATCACACCGAAAGACAAAAAAAAAACCTCATCGCATAAT